CACGGTCGTCAGAATGGAAAAAAACAAGCCGGCCTGTCGTTTGGTCACAGACACAGAGCTAAAAGGATCCTTTAAAGGACTCTCCAGGGTGGAGAAAAGCTGCTCTAGCTTAGCTGAAGATATCATCTGTGAACATGGTGTACGTTACACCTGTCACGCAACTCAATGAACACATAAATACGTAAAAACCTCGGTCCAGAATCAGGTTCCTCATTATTCACAAAAAATGCAGTTATAAGCTAGAAGCCAATTGGATCCCTCAATCATGGTAGCACTCCTGATCACTAAAATAATTACACCAGCTATAGCACATTCACTACTAAATAACAACTAGATGAAGCTTAGGTAAAGGGACATCTGAAAATGGATCCACTTAAACATACACTGAGCAATATGTCCATAACTGTCAATGAGTGTCTGAGTAACCAGATACTTATTTGCAAGTTAGCATCTGAAAAGTTCTTTAAAAAACAGGTCCTCAAACTAGCATTAACCCTCCTTACAACACCTCCAAAAAGAGAAGCCACACCTGCTATTGTTATTAATGCGGCGCTAAGTCGCCTCAGGCACGTTACTGTGTTAACGTGTTCAAAGGAAACAAGCATACAGTATCATTCCAGTCCACATTAAATAGGAATCCCACCACTTTTTCAACACTTCTAAAAAATTCAGTCGTTGAGACGAGTCATTTAGAGTGGTCTGAGGTGAAATGGTTCATTGCAGAGAAACTTGCAGACCACCAGTGAACCTAAACGTCTTCTGAGTGCATACATGTAATGCTGATGATGGTAAAACAGTCATAAATCTGGGGACTATTTTGCCTTACAACACCCTGCGTGTAGCCCTCCGCCATAAAAGGATCAAAATACATTTTAAGCCTAAACTTTATCACAAAACTATCATAAAACAATGTGTCAGACTTCAGGCAGCAGATATCTAACAATTTCAATAAATAGCTTTCTGTGAGGGACCTTTCAGGTGGATTTCTGGTTCCTATCACCACCACTGTGAACAATTCTGATTCTGCAATTTTCTCTAGAACGGAGCGTTTCACACCAAACCACTCTGAATGCCCTTGTTCACCTCTGAACCATGTAATTATCTGGAATTTTTTTAAAGTTCCCCTTTAATTCTGGAGTTAGAGAGCTACTGAGCAAATCTGCTTACAGACACGTTTGTCCATCCGGCAGCCATCTTAGCAGTTATTCTCAGTCATACAACACCAGCCTTCTATCTGTTTGAAGGAAGGGAGACCTAGAGACCTGAAACTGATAGCCAAGCTAATGTTTCAATACCATATGTTAAAGGAGTAGTTTGGCAAAAAAAATGAATTCACCCAGTTTTCCTCATCCGTTAGATGTAGTCGAGCAGCCAAGACATGTTTGGTGTTCAAATACTACTTCTTTAGTTTTACACTGGAGCCATGAGGCTAAATTTCAGTAGTCAATCAAATATCCCAAACAATTTCTGTAAAAATGCATCACCAAAACCTGCTCAAAACACATATAGGTCTTCATTAAAGTTGCACAGACTTTCCTATGTGGTTTAGAACACAGTGTGACGTAGTTTGTGAATACAGACCCTGTTGTCTAAAGCTGTCGCCTGCAGTTTTGTTCATTTCTGTAGCTCACAGTAAGTCATACAGTGTCCTAAACCACACTGACAAGTCTGTGCAACCTTAATAAAGACCTGGATGTGGTTTTGGTGCTGCATTTTTGCAAAAACGATTTGGGCCGTTTTCACACTAGAGTTTTTTCCTGACTCAGGACTGCTTGCTCTGCGAGTTTGGTACATTGATCAAGTGTGAAAGCTGTTTTTGAGCCTGGGAGTGGTCCAGAGAACTGATCTCTGGTCCTCCTGAAATCGGTGGTCTGGGGTCCGCTTCCAGAGCTCTGCATGTGGGGTTGACTTGTTGGTTCATTCTGTAATGTACCTGCTTATTGCATCACTTCACTTTTCATGTCTTGTGCTGGCCTGCATGGCTAAAAACATGAAAACGGCTCACTGTTTGAAGACGCTCCTGCATGGTGAAATGCCACACATCCAAAAAGCGCTGCTCTTTACCGCTTGAGTGTTTGCATCTAAAGAAAACAATAAAAAGCAGCAAACGGGTGAAGCTAGTGCCAACCATTTTGCAAACCTGTGCGCAGAAAAGTGACATAATTGCGCAATCGATCCACGGTTTGGATGGAATTCTTATGCAAACCAGTGACAATGAGCCCCTCCACCGAACAAGCCCACAATTAGTCCTGGGTGTGGACTTGGGTCGTATTCGGGTGTGAAAACACCCTTGGGCTATTTGGGTGACTTATGAGTTTTAGTGTTTGCTAGGAAATTCAGCCTCAGCGCTCCAGTTGTCAACTAAATAAGCAAATTTGGACTCCAAAGATGTCTCAGACATTCAAGTACATTTGGGTTAAGTGGAAAACCATGTAAAAGTGATTTTCTGCCAAATAATTCCTTTAAATTGCAGGACAAAAAAGGCATAATTGCTTTGGGATCTTTGGCTCAAATAAAAATTCTTTTGGCATTTCCACAACACAAGGAGCTTGTTTGTGTTTGCAAGTAGAACAATGAATTATTACTATTATTTATTATGATCTGAATTTGATTGTATTTTATTTCTTGGTTATTATTGTGTGTACAGTCCTGTTTAATCAGAAGAATAAACATCCTTTAAATTTCTGCCATGTTTTTGTCTTTTTTCCATCAAAACAAGTGCAGACTTGCCGCAGTGGATACAGAATATGCAATGTAAACATAATTCACTGCATAACTCACTATGTAAGTAGCTATGTAAGCAATGTTATGTAATTGCATCCGAATCGTAGAGCAAAACAAAAGCTATAACGACTCTACCTCCAAGTGTTAAAACCAGGCGTTAGCTAAAGACCGGTCTGCTTTTGTGGTAGCCAGCAGCACCTGACGTACAAACAGCCCCAGGCGACGTCCAGTTCTTCCTGCCTAACAGACACAGCGCGTGCACAGACGAGTGAATCCAGGTGACTGAATGAATACAGATGAGTGAATACAGGTGCTCATGTGTGGTTGAGATGCAAATGAGGTGGCCTTTCTCTCCACAGACACAATGGTCAGGCTCTGAAAGATCCTCTTACACGTACTCTCGCTCTGCCTCCCCTGCAGTTTCTCTCTCCCTGTCTCCTCATGCTCGCTCGCTCTCTACACTTCATCTTCTTTCCTATGCTGTACTAGGATACCTCATATATACTACAGTGTATAGGCTATCATCAATCCGTTTGACCAAATTTTGCTAAGCTGTAGAAGAGTCCAGGAGCCTGAAGCTGATTTCATTGTATGTTCACTATAATAGTGCAGTCTCTACAATAACATGTCTTGCACAGAGTGAAATTTTAATTATTTATGCTGTTTGAATATTCTCTTTCAATAGTATAGAAAATAGGGGCTTCGACGTGTGGAAGGAGCGCTATGGTGACCGAAAATATATCTGCGTTAGTATCGTAGCCAAGGAAACCAAAATCACTAAGCAACAACTCTAAAAGGACAGCAAAAACAGTCTTCGCTTACATGATGAGATGACAAACAGACTACATTAACCAGAGTCTTTAAACATTCTGTACTGAACTCAGTGAAGGAATAATGTCTTCAACTGATATAAGAAGGATCCTAATTCAACACACAATACAAATGTGAAATTAACTCTCTTAAACATTTTAGCCACTACAGCAAACAGATGTTTCTGCTGTAGTAGCAGTAAAACTGAAAGAAGTAGTATTACTGAGTCAAGAGGAAAAAAAGCTAAAATATGGTGTGCGTGTGCTGCTGCGAGCCACCTTGTAAAGCCTGAAATAATAATTTAATAAGGCAGAGCCGTCAGGACTGATTATGTCAGACCTTTACATGGTAACATTACATGTAGAGGCTAAACATAGAAGGTCCAGCTCGATGTTTAGGTTCTTAAACGCAACAATCAACATTATTCATTCTGATGAAGATGTGATGACAGCAGCAGATCATCACTTACATCCTCAGAAGACAAGTCCTTCTTTGAACACTCCTTCAAATCATCAAATTCATCCACTCAGGGAAGGGGACTGAAGCGGCGTTACAAAATGTTTCTACCAAACGTTGCAGGCAATTCCACATTTCCACCAAAGCTTAGACAGTGTAACTTTAAAGTCTCTAATATATTAGATTGTTATCACAGTGATGATACTAAAATGTTGGCAGTCAATACCAGTGAAATTTGATGATTCTCAATATCAATTTGGTACCATAGAAGATACCAAGCAGAAATGCCATTAAGCTCAATCCTTTCTTTATAAACTAGGTTATTAACAACTGCAATGACTAGCTATTCAAATGCTCAACCTGTAAGCCTCAGGCCAGAGCACAACTAAACATTCTAAAACAATCACAAACATAGTTGACAGGACAGCTGAGTACTAAAATTCAATACTATCAAAATCTAGACTGCTGACTGGCTGTGTACATTTTGTTCCGCATGCACGTTATCGATGTCAGTGCTTCCTGAATAACCTGTAATTAATTACCATCAGTAAATACACCCACTTCCAGCACCCGACACTCTTTTCTGGTTTAAGCCACAGCCACTTTTGGTTTGGCACTCGGTATCAAGGTCAAGTTCTTTACAACGTCCAGAAAAAGAACTAGAAACACTCTTAAAAATAAAGGTGTCAGGAAATGTTCTTTGGAGCAATGCCTTAGAAGAACCACTTTTGGTTCCCTAAAGAACCTTTCAGGGGATGGTTCTTTGGAGAACTATGTTTGTAAATGACATGTTTGAGCGTGAAGAACCATTTTAAAACTGAACAGAATGTACATGTATAATAATATATTGTACATATTATTATATATTACACATATTAATAAATGAACAGTAAGACGAGTTTGGATAACTGAAATGTTCACACAATATACAGGACAACTGCTGTGCACAAATTGTAGAAAAAGTAAAAACGGAAAAAAAGTAAAGAAATAAAAATACCCAGAGTTCGTACCTGTAGAGGCAGCAGAGTGTTGCTGTTGTTGTCGGTGCGGAATACATTCTCCTCCACCCAGGTCTTGGGCCCCAGTGAGGCGGTGGAGCGGGGGAATTTTGGGGGAGCGATGACGCTGCTGGAGAAAGGCTTCTTCATGGGGGAGATCTGACTGAGCGAGCCAGGCACGCCCATGCCCCCACCACGACGATGATCTCTACCCCAGGACATCCCACCAGAGCTCCAACCACTGCCCTGATGACCACCCCACAGGGACTGCTTCATCAGGGGCTACAGAGAGAGAGAGAGAGAGAGAGAGAGAGAGAGAGAGAGAGAGAGAGAGAGAGAGACGTATGAGTTATAGAAGGAGGGATGGGCAATAAACAGAACAGGACAATCAACAGAAGTGTAAGGGTGAGAGATAGAGAGAGGAAGGGAGAGTGAGGGAGAGAGCAACAGAGAGAGAGAGAGAGAAGGAGAGAAACAGAGATAGTGAGAGAGAAAGACACATGGAGTGGAGAAAGACAGGGAAAAAGGGAGACAAACACAGGGATAGAGAACAAGAGACAGACAGTGAAGGAGAGAGACAGAGTGAAATAGAGTGAAAAAAGAGAGATAGAGTGAGAAATATAGAGATAGAGAAAAAGAAAGATGGACAGCAAAAGAGATAGAGAGAGAAAAAAAAGAGATAGAGAAAATAGAGATAAAGAGATTGAGATAGAGATAGAGGGGGTTAGAACAAGAAAAAGAGAGAAAAACAGATATAAAGAAATGAGAGAGATATAGATAGAGAAGGAAATAGAGAACAGAAAGAGAAATAAAGAGAAAAACAGAGGGAGAGAAAGAGAAAGATGGAGAGAGAGATTGTGAAGAGATGAAAATTTGTGACTAAATATAAACACAATAGAATCAAGCGTTTCGTGAGTGTGTTTGTGTGAACATGAGGGTGTGTGTGTGTGTGAGTGTGCGTGTGTGTGTGCGTGTGTGTGTGTGCGTGTGTGTGTGTGTGTGTGCGTGTGTGTGTGTGTGTGTAACCGCTGGTAGGTCTGCTTGTAGAGCGGCAGTAAGAAGCTTTAGAGCTTTACATCTAATTCTAACTGCCTCCAACAACACACACTCTCCCTCACAGACACACACACACACACCACACACACACACACACACACACACACACACACACACACCACACACACACACACACCCTACATACAAATAAAACACTAGTTCAGGTCCACACTTTAACATAATAATGAATACAGTTGAGTAGAGAGCTGTGTAAATGTCTTAGGAACCTAACAGTTTAAAAGCGTTTATCTCAGCGGTCGACGTGTCTCCTTCAGTAACACCTCCTACCTCATCACAATAAATACCAATAAACATAAATACAGTACAAATTTAAAGATTTTTTGTTTCCAAAAATGAAGCTGATGTCTTGTGAGCTGGTTAGAAGAAGAGGCTCCAGATTTCTGCTGGACGCCCCAAGCCATCACATAAATTTGTTTAATTCAATTCTCCAGCACACATAATTTAATTTAACGAAGCACAGATTAACCAAACTAGGTACTGGATAATAACTACACACTTAAAAAAAGTTTAGTTCTTTAGGTTCTTTAGTAAAGAAAATGGTTCTATATAGAGTGAACCTTCAGAGAACACTTTGCATGATTAAAGGGCTCTTTGTATCGTGAAAGGGTGCTTCAGATTGATGGAGAATGTGCTGTACATGGTTCTATATGGAATGTTTTTGAAAAGGGTTCTATATAGCACCAAAAAGGGTTCTTGAATTGTTAAGATGTCAGGCTTGTTACAACAGAAGAACCCTTTTTGGTGCTATATAGTGCCCTTTTCAAAAACATTCCATATAGAACCATCTACAGCACCTTCTACATCAATCCGAAGAACTCTCTCACGATGCAAAGAACACTTTAATCATGCAAAGTGTTCTCTGAAAGTTCATGGCTCTATATAGAACCATTTTCTTTACTAAAGAACCCTTGAAGAACCATCATTTTTAAGAGAGTATAAACAGTAACAGGATTCCTCAAGAAGAGGTTTGGAAATAGTTAAACAAACACATTTACATTCATAAAATCAGTACCTACTACTTGTTATTTGTATTTATTCTAATATTAGCGTTTTGCTGAACGGATAAACCAGATAAATAACTTTTTAACTCACATTTTTCTCAAGCGACTATATTGTATACACTTAAGACTGTGGGTGTTTTTCCTCAGTTTGCATTTGCCACACCCATCTACACAACCTACAGTGACAGGGTGTATAATTAGACAGTGGAGTATATGTGTGTGTTTGTGTGTGTGAGGACAAAATGAGTGTTTTGGTGGGAATGAGTGATAATAATGTTGCCGTCTAGACGTTGGGAAAGAAAGCGCGAGCTGTTTTCCGAATTGCTGCAGTCTACAAGAGTAAACCACAACTCGTGCATTCTCAATACACATGTACATACATACACAGACACACACAGACACACACACACACACTTCTCCATGCATGTGTCACTGCAGCACTGGATTTTCCCCATTTGTCTTGTTCAAAAGTCACAATGATACAGCAATAGTCCTGCTGTGATCAGCTGGGCAAATTCAGAATATTAGGTCTATTTGCGCTCTTTTACCTGTCACTGCATGTGAATGAACCACTGGCAAAATCATGTGACTCATTCTTACCCTCCCCCCCATATCCTCCAGAGCAGACACACGCAGGCTGTGGCCTGGGCCGCTCATCTCAATCGAAAACCCAGTGTACTTTAGCAATGCGTCTGTTAATCACCTTCACTGTTCCAAATGATTATAACTGTTCTAATCTCAGGACTGTGGTAGTTCTATAGTTGCGGGGAAAACAGGTCAGGGAGTAATTTTGGTCCAGTCCGCTGGACTCCCATTCATCCAGAAATTTCTGGCTGTGATCAGCAGCATAAGAGGATGTGAGAGCATCTTTCAAAATGGCTGCTATTAAAGCATTGGCACAGAGTGTGCGTCCACTAAAGCCTGCACTACAGCGTAATCATTACAAGAATAATTATTTTCCCCATTCTCATTACAGGCTTACTCTACTCACATGACCTTAAGGTCACTGGAAAGTCATGTGAAACCTTCATCACGACATCTTTTGGACTTTTACAGTCAGTGCTTCATACTTAAAATGATGTTCAAGTTCACAGTGCGCACCACATAAAATAATAACAGCAAAGAGCCTGCATGGCTGCCCTCATTTACATTCACCACACAATGACACCACACTAATGTGGGTTTGCACTGTGTACACAATAACATGGTTATTATCTTATCATTACATTATTATATCATAAGTAATTACATAGTTACACAAGAACGAGCTTAGTCATCCTAGCTAGAGCTGAGCAGTCAGAGCTGTACAGCTTGGTTCGGTTTTGAGAAACAATTTTCGGTTTTCAGTTTCAGCTCTTCTCCTAAAATACCAATGAATTAATAAATGGATCCAATCACAGAATCTCAGTGTAAAATACGGTACACTTTACAGGCCTACACGCTTCTTTCCATCACAAATTCTGTTTTATCAGCATATTCACGTTGTCAGCTAGCTACTTTGCCCTTGCCTGTCAGAGTGCGCGCAGTGCATCATGGGAAATGCGGTTCTTTCTCATGCCTGCTCAGATCTAACTGCGTTGAAGTGTCTCAGCTTGGGAACTACAAAATAGTTGCGAAGCGAACTCACAAAAAAATCATAATGGATGCTAAGAATTTAGCGAGAATCTGTCGTTATGGCACTTGAACATTATTTTTAGCCAGTTATTTTATTTGAGAACAGAAAAACAACATTATTTCGGTCGGAATCGTGTTTAAACACTGAACAGCACGGACATTTCAGTCAGGACTGTATCTACGTACCGAAATTTCGGTATATCGCCCAACCACGATTGGTCACATTAGCAGCAGGTTCCTTCGCGGCCACTAAAGGAGGACTGAGCGGGTCTGATGATGGAGGGTTTTCTCACCTGGTGGTGGTTATAGTTGTTCCTCTGCTGCAGGAAAGCTCCGTGCTGCTGCTGCGGGGCCATGTTGTGGGGGCTACCCGGGGAGCGGCGGCTCTGCGGCGGCGGCTGCTGCGGGGAGAAGGGCCCGCCGAAGCCCTGCACACTGACGGCGGCGCACGGACTCGCCGGCACGGGCGAGAAGCTCTGGAAGAAGCCGGGGCTCATGGATGAATGCAGGGCCGGATAGAAGCTGCTGTCAGGCTCGCTGCTCGGGGTGGAGCCGGAGGGTGGCGGCGGAGGCTGCGGCTGAGGGCCAGGCGGAGGGGAGCTGGTGTGAACCGACCAAGGCGCTGCGAAGCTGGGGAGAGGAGGGGAGGCCGGGCCGCTGACTCCTCCGGGGGTGGCCATGTCCTGGTGGGGGAGGCCGGGGAAGCCTGCTCCGAGGCCTCCGGCCAGCACCCCAGCGCCGCTGCTGAGCAGGTGAGCGGAGTCCATCTGGAGGTGCTGCGCTGTACCGGGAGAGGGAGAGAGCGGCGCGGCCTCGGGCTCAGACACCGGCGCCAGCTGCCGGAGCTCTGCGGTTACGGAGGAGGAGGCGGCGGACGACGGAGAGGAGGAGGAGGAGGAGGTGGATGAGGGTGGGGGTGGCTGTGGCTCCTGAAGGTCACGCGCGGGGCAAAACGGGGCCTGCGCTTTAAAGTCGCCGGCTCTCGCCCGTTCGCCCGGTGCTAATGCTAACACTAGGCTTCCGTCAGTGGCTTCTTGCCCTTCTTCACCGACGCCGCCGTCGAGCTGCTGCGAGCCGGTCACCCCCGCGGGATCATCGGAGAAGAGCGGAGCGGGGCAGGAGGCCGGTGGGGCCAGCGGGGAGGAGGAGGAGCCGGACAGGGAGCGGAAAGCGGCTCCGGAGCCGAACAGGAGCGCCGCGCCGGTACTGCTGCTGCTGCCGCTGCTGAGACTCGCCGTGTGCAGCAAACCGAAGCCGTAATCACCCATTTATTTCCGTCCGATGCAAAAAAAAACGCAAGGCAGCTCCTTTCTGCGCGTGCACGGCCTCGGAGAGAAAGAACAACAATAAAAACGCACAGTGACCTCTATCGCATTGCCTCAACTTCCTCCACCTCACACACCGCAGAGGAGGAGCTCTGCTCCGCTTTTTTTCTTTCTTGCAGCAAATCACGGTCCCTGCGGTTGCATTTAGTCACTTATCGTTTCTCTGCGCGGCTCCTTATTTTTAGGGGGGTTCGTGTTATTTTATGTCGTTTTTAGCCGCCAGCCCCTCCTCGCCGCCTCACCTAACCGGCTCTATCTGCTGCAGCAGCAGCACAGACACACATACACTCTCACACACACACAGATTAAACCCCCAAACCACGTCACCGGCACGTCATCGTTTTCTCTTTTTACGCCCCCGCAGCCCCCGCACCCCGTGCCGCAGTGTGTGTGTGAGTGTGTCAGCTTGTCGAAATGTCCCACCATAGTGCGTATTTATAGCTCCCTACACACTTAAAAAGATGGTTTTTCAAGGGTTCTTTAGTAAAGGCAATGGTTCTATTTAAAGCCACATGATGTCAAGCTTGTGTCAATAGAAGAACCCTTTTTGGTGCTGTATAGAACCATGTTCAAAAAGGTTCTATATAGCACCATATACAACACATTCTCCGTCAACTATTTCACCATGCAAAGAACAATTTAGGCATGAAATGGTTCGATATAGAACTCATGGTTCTGAACAGAACCATTACCTTGAAGAACCATCTTTTTTAAGTGTGTACATAAATCTCTAGATGCATATTTATAGCAACCTACACACTGAAAAAGATGGTTCTTCGAGGGTTTGTTAGTAAAGGTAATGGTTCTATTTAGAGCCATGAGTTATGTAACGAACCATTTCATGCTTAAATGGTTCTTTGTGTGGTGAAATGGTTCTTCAGTTTGATGGAAAACGTGTTGTATATGGTTCTGTATAGAACCATATGATAGATGATGTCAAGCTTGTGTCAATAAAAGTTCTTTTATAGACACAAGCTTGACATCATCTACCATGTGGTGTCAAGCTTGTGTCAATACAACCCTTTTTGGTGCTATATAGAAACATTTTGAAAAAGGTTCTATACATATCGCCATGCAAATAACCATTTAAACATGAAATGGTTCTATACAGAACTCATGGTTCTAAATAGAACCATTACTTTGAAGAACCATCTTTTTAAAGTGTGTAACTAAAACTGTAGGTAGGATAGTTTGATAGCCTAAATCACCTTATCAGAAAACGTTACCAGCATTATAAGAATAATTAAGATTCTGATACCCTAAATAATCTTATCAGGGAGTAAGCAGTAATATTAAGCTGAGTCTGTAGTAAATCTACACTAAAAAACACAGAAAAACTTTTGAAACACGAAGTTACTACGTTACACTAATGCTGTGCGCGTGCTCAGTAGGGCCGATCGAGTAGTAGGCCAAACTGATAGAACACCGATCTATCAGTTTGGCCTACTACTCTGGTGCGTGAGTGTGCATTCGCACTCACACTCACTCGTGATTGCAGCATAAATGCAGCAAATACATTCATGCAAAGGCCTGAGGTGGCAAAAGGCAATAAAACTGCTCAATGCAAAATAATGAGCTTCTCCTTTTCTTTTTCTTGCACGTTCCCATCTATGGCAACATCCCGTCTCCGCTCATATTATACACTCAGGCTAGCTATTAGCCTAATAAGCCTGCAAGCTAAGGTTGGATGTTTTAGTCTATTTGTGTTCAGTGTGGAGAGCCATCCCTGCTTAGAACCATTAGGATTAAAACTGGATGGTTTTACTCTCTAATGGCTAATGGTTAATATTAGAGACCACTGGTTTTCTGTGGAACACTTGTTAAACCATTAGAACCCTTTACACTGTGATATCAACCCATCAGGAAAACACAGAATACCTCTCACTTAATACATTGATGCCAATGCAAATTCACAAGAATGCCTCATTTTTTCACACGTCCCCTAATATCATCACTGTATCCTAATGAGCATGTGACATGGCCTACACAGGCTAGCTAATTAGCTCATAAATCTGTAAGTCAAGTTGTGGTTGGATGGCTTTGTTCATTTTTGCATATGTGCATTGGCCTATTTGGGCCTGCTTCAAGCATGTAAACCCATCCGTACCAATTTTAGACTTTTCTCTTTTGGGCTGCATCTTTTCTTCCTAGCACGCAGCTCTTGGTGCGAGAGTGAGCCGCTACTGCGCACGCGCAGCTCAGCGTCAGGCCCGCTGCAGTGACGGTCAGTGCTAAAAATAGCAGATTAAACTGCAGCTGGGTGTGGAGGAGGTGAATGTGTATGCATGCTTAAACAGCAGGCTCGCACTCCACACCCTTTTTGTCCTTTACGTCCATCTTTGTTTTAGAAAGAGCTGACCCTGTTTGACAGCTGGGCTTGTTTGTTCCTCCCAGGTCACCGTAGCTTTTGTCTTAGACTCGGTGGTTTAGCCTCAGAGGCTGTAATGGCTGCTGGTGAGGCAGAACTGAAAGATGCTAGTGAGAGAAGTGAAGCTTTTTACAAGCCAGGAGATGAGCGGGGTACTCATGTGCGATTAATATGACCCTTATTCAGGTGAGGAGACATGACGGCAGGCGATGGATGCAAATTAGCGTGCTCTTATCAAAAAGTGCCCTTTGTGTCACTGATCAAATTACAAAGCAATAAGCACTGTGCTTGGTCACACTGATAGGGCAGTCTTCAGTCTGAGCCAAACACTGATAGAGGCAATCCACCCCCATTCCAGTGATGAGATGAGTCCAGGCAAAGCCTATCAGAATTTGCAAATGAAAAGGCGGTCAGCCTGGCATTGGGCAAAATGGAGCTAGTGTGGGAGGAATTGGGCCCTAATGAAACTTGCTGATGTTTTAGAATGAAGCATAGGAAGCTTAATTATATGTGGGTCACACCAATGTGGACACATTTTAATGTTAGTATCAATGGGCTTAATTCACCAAGATCTTTCTAGGTTTTTTCTTAAATTTGCTCTTGAGGAAGGTCCTAGGAAAAATTCTACGTCAGATTCATGACATGTTCTTAAACCACAGAACTGTTCACACCTTTGTGCTCCTGAATGTGTAGATTCTGTTCTTACCTAAGAACAAATCCCAAATAAGAAAACATTGGTGATTATCAGAATCTTTGAGAAAATGGCGTAAGCGCGTTTTAAGAAGAAATTTCTTCTTAAGGACGATTGGTGAATGAGGCCCACTGTTAGCGTTAGTCTATTAGGTCTACAGAAACGGCGTCACAGAATTTAAGATGGCTGCCACAATATGGAGTCTGAACACAATGTTCTGCTGCAAATTGTGATCAATGAACGTACATTCTCAATAAATCAGCAATAATTCATTTGGATGATGGTAATTTACAAAAAATTCTCTTAGTGCTCTCTTGTACAGTCAGAAACAGAGCCTGATGGACATGCCCATTTTTTTGCCACGTAGTGTTTTTATACATGTTTCTAATGAGGCCTTTTAAAAGGCTTTTTCCAATAAAGTATTCTGGAATCTTTATGTGTGGTTTATTATTGTTCAGCTAATTCAACTAAAAAATACTCTATTGCTGGTCAGAATAATTGGTGGCATGCGCGATTACGAATGCCCTACATTTGACCCTTTAACACTTAGAGGCATATATCCATATATGGCTGCTACTTCAGTTACTCACTCAAGTAAATGTTACAGATTTAGAGATAATCTCACAGTAGTTACAGGACCGTTTATAGTCATTACCGAATAATAAGTCTTGAGATTAATATCTGAATAATAAGCCTAGAGTTGAAGGGGTTAGATTATAAATACACAATATCAAGATCTGTATTATTTTTTATACTACTACATATAAATGATGAAGGTCATATTATGAAATGGAAGCAAGCAGAGCTCATATACAGCCTACTGGACAATCACATCAGACATCTGGACGTTCAAACCAGAGATACTGGAGGTTTGAATCGAACGTACTGGATGATCACGTCAGTCATTTCGGATGGGCATGGGAAGCAACTGTAATGTGATGAGGATAGAAGAAAGTCACACACACACACACACACACACACACAATCTAATTTAAGCATTGTCATCCTATAGAGATGAGATAGCTGTGTTTTTACCTACAACTAAAGACCAGCTGGCCTTCTCATTGTGTGTGTGTGTGTGTGTGTGTGTGTGTGTGTGTGCGTGTGTGTGTGGGGGGGTGGAGAGAGACAGAAAGAGACACAGAGAGAGAGAGAGAGAGAGAGAGTATTGAATGATCCTGTTAGTGAGCAGAAGTGTGCTGTAATATAACCAAACGGCCATCTGCCTTCTGAGAATTACCTTACTCTTCAATGATGATAAATGAGATAATGTGTTTGTTTGTCATTTATTGCAGGAAAAATCCTCAGACTGACAGAAATCTGTTCGTCATATTTCAGTTAGAGATATTTAATTAAGACAAATGTGTTATGATGACAATACCAGCGTAAAATTCATGCTGAAAGATATTTTGGTTTTTCAAGTAAGTTCATACGTAATATTTATATAGGCACATGTATTACCATTTTCTTATCATTTTTAAGGTGGCGATGGCTTATAATAACGTTTTCACATTTCACGTTTAATCTGTTGAATTTTACTTGGAATTTCATTAAAATCTCTTGAAATATATGAAAAACGCAAAGCCCAACTGCAAATGTTTTAAAGCTGGACATTTGGCTTTTATAACAAAATGGGGTGTAAATCACTGACCACAAGGATTCAGTTTGATTTCTTCAGGTACTTGATTCAATGCGTCGTGATATCTCAGATTTCACCATGACATTAATCAATTATTTTAATATTTTGGTACAAGTTAGAATATTTTTTCAAAAACATGCTGAATACATAAATGTGAATGGAGGAAAAATGACACAGTATTGAAATAGAGGCAATAAAGCAATGCACTTTTTTATTCTTACATTTGAAATGAATGTATGCATTACTGTCTGTCATTCAAATCAGCCATGATTGATTCTAACATTCCAAAATCAATGCAGTTCAATCTGCAAACTCAGTTTGTTGCATCAGTGAAGTTGTACAATGGAAGAAACGTATAACCTGTCATAAGGTCATAAGGGCTAATTTGATTTCTGCAACCAAATGACAGGCAAAAAACAAAAACGAAATATCGTGATTAGAATTTGCTTAAAGCAGGCCGCATTTGGAAAAGAGCGTAACATTTAGAGAATGTTTGTACTGACAACACAGGCAAAATGTGTGTGGACAATATGGGGCAGCATTGCCATCTTAATACCAAGTGGTTTAAAGACATATGTCTCTATTTCTCTCCTTCACACATACACCCACATCCGCTCTACCCCTCAATTTCCCCCTGAGACTTCTCTACATCTTTTCATCCCCACTTTACATCTATTCCTTCAGCTGTTAGGCCCATAAACACACACAGACACACACTTGTGTCCCA